TAGCCCAGGGACTGCCAACTGGAAGCCCCTCAGCCAGATGTGACCTACAAAGCAATATTAATGGCATTTGAAACAAGTCACAATTGCAACCTTTATTTGCAAAGATTATAAAACTGTTTTCAAAGATTATGAACTATTACACATTACTTTGATATTTCTGTTTAGGTATTCGTACTAGATTAGTTTTCCGCTGCCTGGAAAATTGCCCGGAGAGAGAGAGGTTCTTGAGCACAATTTGCATCCCTAAAATTATCCAACTAACCACTCTGAATTAGGGCACAGTACACCTGAGGCCGCTAACAGAAGCTTGTTAGACTTTTCCTTGACCTTCTCAAGGAAAGAAAATTGTATCAGTGAACTTGTTCTAGTGCTGAGTATTGATAATGGCTGACCCAGTTTTAGAGATTGAGGTATATTCTAAAAATCTAAAAGCATGAAACTGGGACTTGATGACTGAACATACGAATATTTCCTTTGTATTGCAGAAGTGGAAAGGGAAAGAAACAGGAAAGAGAAAAGTGTTAACATTGTGGAAGAATTTAGAAAGGAAAATGGGGAAAGCCAGAGTGAAAATGAGAGAGCCCTAGATGAGCATTTTACATTTTCAGATTACTGATACTAGTGAATGCATTTAGATAATACTATGTTTACATGTTTACTTTTAAGAGGCAACTTCATAACTGATAGACAGCACTATTAACAAATCTGGAAACACATGTTGTCTGTGGGAGGGCAGGGGGCATGTTGTGTTTTTTGTTTTTCTCCTTGTTAGAAAATATATGGTGGTCTCTAGACAGTTGCCATTTATTTACTTTTTCATGGAATGACTGAAATCTTCCAAGCCTTACTGGCACCCTGAAAGTCATAAAATATTCCAAGTGGAATTCCCTAGCTGAATAAAATTTCTGAGTCACCAGTCATTTGTTCCTTCAATTTTAATGTGATCATTCTGGTGTCAAAAGTTGGCATTTGATCCATGTAACATAAAACTCTATGTCTGTCACACATACCAAGTAAGTGGTAAATTGTAAAGGGCAGCAAAAATGTTACGAGATTGTTCATACCTGTGGTGTACCTGTGCACAAATGGGATGGAATATATTGAGATTCTGTATCCATGTCACTTTTCCACCAAATTGAGGTTTTGTCTCATGTGGGAGAGGCTTTTTAATCAGTAGGTTTGCCATCCTATGCTAAAGAGGGATTCTTGTATTTTATTTGGTGGGATTACTTGGTTTTCCTTGCATCACAGGATAGGAATTTGATGGTTTTGCTTATTTATTTATTTAAGGTATGTTATGATCCCCTCTTAATCATCCTGATCCACAGATAAAAAATAGTATAAAATCATGATGAAGCAATATAATGAGGGCAGTTAAAACAATAACAATAAATGCTCAACAATCAATAGTGCAAGGGATTAAAAAATACCTTACATTAAAAGCTTAGGAAAGGAAAGGGAATATGGCCTGTTGGACTTTCCTATCCTGCATACTCAGCTTCTTTCCCTCTTATAAGCCCCACCCCTTTCCTCTCTCCCAGCTTTGGGGTTGGAGAGATCTTTTTTTGGCTGCGTTGAAAAAGTAGATGAAGATAGGCATTTTCTCTCTGTCTGCACTGGGACATGGAAAAGTAAAGTGAGACCCTTCCCTAAACACCCAGCTCAGAGAGAAGGGAATGGCCTCAGCATTGCTCTATAGATGGGGTTAGAGCAAAGGCGTATGCCCCATTCTTGGCTTAGTACTGAGAAGAGGATCTTCTCTCAGTGCTGAGTGGGAAATTGCTGCTTTCATCTGACCTGAGCGGTCAGGTGCAAGAGGTGAAGGTGGAGCTGGAGCTGGCACAGGTGCATGAACATTAGATGCATGTGAAGAGCAACATGCCAGGAGTGGTTTCACTCACATCGGGCAATAACATTTCCAGTGTGTGCAACAGTCATGCCCACTCTTTGGCACGTAAGTCTCAACTGCCTAGCCTTGGGTCAGTTTGGTGCTTGGCTGAAAATAGTTCTGCTTTAGAAAATAATGCTGTCTACAGATCATCAGGGCTAGAGCCAGCAAATAGATAGAAGAACATTCCAGAAGTAAGAGGCCATGGAGGAAAAGGCTCTGTTTCTTGTTGCCATTATTTTCTGGAGCTGGCAGGGTGCAGTTCCTTTTCAAAGGATTCAAGGAAAAGCTTATTCAAGGAAAAACAGCATGCTGGGCTAAGGATGAACAGTTCTTTCTTTTAATTACTGTTTGATTATAACAGCTTTTCTTAATGTAGTGCTCTCTAGATGTTTTAACCTACAACTCCTATCAGTATCAGCCCCAACCAGCAGTCAGATACAATGAGAATTGTAGTTAGAAACATCTGAAGGGCACCAGTTTGAGGGAAGGATAAACAATAACAAAAGGCTGCAGTAGTTACTTTTACCCCTTTTGCTAACCCCGTCCCGTCCCCGTCCCCGTCCCGTCCCGTCCCTTCCCTTTTGTGTGAATGAGGGAGTGGGTGTATATATACCCAGGTTTCCCCATTGCTCATGCATGCAACAGCAAAAAATCATTATTAGCTGTTTTATCTGAAAAATGCACCTACATGGTTTTATACACATTTTATTGTTACATGGATTTATTAGTGTGTTTGTTTAAAAAATAGTGCTCCATCTGTATGTAGCTTCCAAAATATGACTGTCCTATCCTTGGAATGCTGACAGTGTTTTACTGTTGTAAATACAGCCCCATCACTTTTCATGTACAGAGAAGTGGCCCTTCTGCTGTTGGAAGTCATCACTTTCAGCAAAAAGACAGAACTACATTGTGTCCAAAAATAGAACATAGTTGGCATTAGGAAATAAAACTACATTTTGTTTTACTGAAGTTGCTGTTTTTGCCAGCTGCAGATTCCCCTCTGATATTTTGTCCAGCTGCATTAAATTGCCATATATTTTTTTCCTGTATTCACTTGTGTCACTGTGAGTTATTCAGGCATTTTTTGTTAAATAGAAGTGTAACTTTTCCCATATAATCCAGGAACATGTACAATTCAGCATTATATTTTTAATGCGAACAATTTAAATTTCTCTGTTTCAAAATATTCCAGAATCAAATAACAAATGCAATCAAATTTAAAATGTGGTGTCTGTGGATATAAGGTCAATCCACAGATGCTAAAAGCCAGTTAAAAAGAAAATAATGTTTTACTGTTACCTCTACCCTCAGTGTACAATTAAAGTGAGTTTTGCCTTTGTAACATTTTGTATCACACAAGAAATGGATATACTGGCACAATGTCTGGAAAAGGACAGAACAGCACACTTGTCTATATCGTACTAATATACATAGTATATGTGCTCATGGGCATAAAAATGTTCTTTACCCCTAGTATACCATTGTTCTACATATACTTTCAGTCTCTGATCAATCTAGCAGTAATTGTGTGACTATACACCCAACTTGGCATAGGACATTTCCCTCCATTGACTTCCATGGGAGAGGAGAGAATTCAGATACAGGCACTGATGTGTCAACAACCAGCCCACCCATGTTGCCTTGGCAGAGCAAAGGATATGGTGTAACACAGTACACAGTACTAAATCATACCATATCTTAATCAGTACATAAACCCAACATAAGCCTCACAGCACACATGGGAAATGAGCATATTTCTGTGCCTAGAACGCTGATAGGTTCCTCATCTTGACCCTCCAGACACAAACAGCACATTCCAGCCTGACAACTAGGGATTCCAAACAGTGTGCTACACAAGTAAACAGCGAGAGAGAAAACGCTTGCTGTAACATGGAACTAGTGTTAGTGTTTACTGCCTTTCTACATTCCCTACTTGTCATATGCGTACAATGACCTGCATGATGAAATTGATGGCAGCCACTGGGGCAAAATCAGTGATGTGCAAAATCAAATAGGGTGGCTTTTTTCTGAGGATAACAGTCCATCCAGAACCCATGGATGATTGTTTGAACAGGCACATTATATGATCTCTGCTCTGTCTTGCTTTAAATAAAACCCTGTCTCCCTCCCCAGCAGCAAGTAGTGTCCTCCACATAGAAGAGACAGTCACCTCACACCCCTACAGAGCCCTCACAGCCCTCACCTCACACCCCTACAGAGGGGTGCGCTCTGTAGTCAAAAATACTAGTCAGAAAGCGCAGATGTGTGTCACAGAAATGGTGGTGGTACTTGCAGATTATACATCTTAAGTTCATAAGATCACCTTCCACTGTGCTGGCTGTCTTGGTCTTTACATTCTGAGTAGGAGTACCATGCCCTGCTGGTTTGCACTTGGCAGTGGGGCTGAGGAGGGCCTGATCCATCATGCTCTACCATTTGGAATGATCTCCCCACTTTGATCAGATGGAGTCCTTAGTTTGGGGTGTGGGGCCTGGCCAAACTAAAGGTGAATTTGCTTACCTGGTTGTCTTCTTACATTCCTTGCTTTTTTTAATAAATGTACAATTTGTATAAATTTGAGGGTAGTGGATAGGTTTGGGTGGTTGTTCTTGATCTTTGTACAAGACTTGGACAATATAATGGGCAATGTTTTTTGCTGTCATCCAGCCTTTTCTTTTCTGTAATGTTTCATCATTCAAATACAGTATTTAAATAATTTCCCTGTTAGTGTATGGCAGCTGTCTATATGATCCCCACAGTAGCTCTTGTGCCAGAACATCATGTTGTTCATAATGTTGAATAGTACCCTTCCTAAGCTGAACACTTGTTCTTTCTTAATGCTTAAGCTCCTTTACTCAAACCGTACCTTGAAGCCTTAACTTGTGTGTACAAGAATACAGTATTATGACCTTGTTTGCCATGCATACTGATGAATTAAAACAGCAGAACAAAATGTGTTTCATCCATAAACTTCAGCAGATGTTCTGAATTCTGGTTGATTTGTTGCATGCGTGCCCATTTTAGATTGTTTTTTCAAACACTATTCATTATAGCAGGATATGGTTTATTTAATAAAACTTTACAGAGGTTTTTTATGATTTTATTGCAGTTTGAAGGGTGCAACAAAGCATTTTCTAGACTTGAAAACCTTAAGATCCACCTGCGGAGTCACACGGGTGAGAAGCCTTATCTTTGTCAGCATCCTGGTTGCCAGAAAGCTTTCAGCAATTCGAGCGACCGAGCTAAGCATCAACGAACACACCTGGATACTGTAAGCATGTTGTCATTCTATATGATGTTGAACATAAATGTTGTGCAGCCTTCAGAGTTGGATTTTAAAACAAAACAAAACAGCACAGGTTTCTTTCACTTACATGTGGAATTTTAGAACTCTCCAGTGGGAGAAAACAGAAGAAAATTCAACATTTTCCCTTTAGCTCTTATGCATTCTTAGTAACTAAAAGTAACAAATATTGGCAACCTATCCAAAGGTTCTGCATGTGTTCTTTTTTATCTATCAAGTTACATCACTCTTCAATAGAAATGAATCCAGGGTAAGTTTCAATAATTAAACCTAAAATTCTAGTATATAAAAATGGCATACAGCAGAAAATAGAGCTAGTAGAAACATGAACAGATTTGTTCTTTTAAAAAGGTTTAGTCTAAAAACATAACAGTGTTGGTGGCAGGCACTTCTCCTTGGGAAGGGTATTCCACAACTCTGGAATGTCAGTCAAAATGTTCTTTCTTGCATTGACCTCAGTTCACTTTCATTAAAGGAGGCACTTAGAGAATGGCTTTGGAAGTGCAGGCACGTTGACCCAAAGCACATTGGGTGCTTTTTCACATACTTGGAACATGGAAGCACCAGCAATTGGAACCAGACTTCGAAGTGTATCAGCAGCCAGTGAGGTGCTTTTCAGGCTGCTGAGATATGGCCTGAACAAACTGCCTCAGTTAAAATTCTGGTGGCTATGTTCTGACTTCATGACAATTTACCAGCCATCTTGAAAGGAGCTCTTTGTATAACATGCCTCAGGACCCCAAACTAGAGGTTTGTGGAGTGTACTAACTTCAGACTGCCTCAATTATATCCTGACAAGGTCAGGATGGTACACCAGCCATAACTCTTTAGAAAGTGCGTCTGTTGTGGGAGTAAAGTCCCTGTGCCCCAGACAGACACTCGTTATGCTTTTTCTGTTTGAGCGAGGGACATGTCATTGAATTATGCCTGCATTGCCAGGCCTTTGCAAAACAGCCCTAGAAACATAGGGCCAATTGACTGAGGGCCATAACTGTGGAAGCTGCAGACTTCAAATGCCCCAAAGGACCACTTGGCCAGGAAGATGCTCACTGCCACCAAGCAGAGGCATGGAAGTCATGAGAGTCCCTGTTTACCATTGCCACGGAGGGCCTGGTTGATCCACAGAAAGTGCTTGGACCCAAGATGGAGCCCCATCTACCATCGACACCAGTGGCCCAGTCGATCTCAATAGAATGCTCAGAACCCAGTGTGGAGTGGCCCGAGTGCTCAGTACTGACCAAAGATCTGAGCCCAGCAGCATCAGTATCAGAGGAGGAAATAAAAGACACTCTTCCCTGGCCTCCAACCCAGCCACCTTGGAATGCTTCTACATTTAAACAATCCACCCAACCACTTTCAGGGGCTTCAGCATTCAGGCATTCCACCCATATCTTGCCAGGGGAAACACCGCTGCTGGAACCAGAGAGGCACTGGCACCGCTCCTGCTCACCACTGCTGGAATGGGACCATGTCTCCAACTCCCTTTGATCTTGGAGGGGCTTCAGGGCATCCTGCACGGAAGACTGTGACTCTGAATCCTGAGAGGATGTCCAAGTCTACCAGCCTTGACAGTGACCTTAACTGCCAATATCATCCATCCCGCTGGTACCTCTATGGCAACTCAATACTGACCAGATGACACCAACAGCAGTCTCTGATGCCTTCTCTGAGAAGAGATACCCATTCCTCCTCAAGCACCTGTGGCTCAATTTGGTCATTGTTGAATCTGTGCGGAGGTGATCATAATGGGGAGACTGGAAGAGCTGACACCTGTACAGTATGATGAGGTGGGTCTATGACATCAGCGCTTGGTTGTCAGGTCTCCAGCTATGAGGCCATCATGGCCCATCACCAACTGTTCCTAGGGGACAAAACCAGGACCATGTGTGACCACCTCCTTGACAATTAAAGGGAACTGGCCTTAGTGTTCCAGCCAGAGGCCACAAAATTGGCTTGTCAGCAGGTCAACATAACAGTGCACCATGTTGACTGGGATCCCAAGACAATGATTGGTGCTCTGACTATCATGAGGAATACATGTCTATGTATCACAGGCGAGCTTCCACATTGAGAACCTCCCCTTCGAGATGGGACCTATTCAGTGCTTGTATAGATGAGTGCACTGACTTTCTGCAGAAGGCCAGGATGACAGTGAGGAGGATGAGCTTCCCAAAATTGTCCACTAGACCTCATAATTGGTTAGGGGCACCACAATTTCCATACCAGCTCAAGGCCTATGCCAAGCTATCATTCAGGTCCCATACAGCCCCCAGGCCAGGAGGCATGATGTCACGGTGCACTTCAAGCACAAAAGCAACCAGAATGAGATAGGCACCATCACTGGCTGCCCTCACCAGCCAGTCCCTCCTCCCACCAATTTTGACAGATGCCTCTTTCTATTCCTTCCCACATGGGTCCTTCCCCTGGGTCTTATCCATGGGGGGGATAGGCTACTGGATCAAGTTTGATGCCATCCCGCCTCTCGGTACCGTAAGGAGCATGGCTCTGTTCCCAGTGCTGATGTCAGAGTCAATTCCCTACTTTCCAAGGGAACTACACAGACAGTCCCTCCTTCCAACCTTTTCTGAGGCCTCAGCCCACATTCCTTCATGGTACAGGGAGACTCAGTCCATTCTAGACCTCAGAAATTTCACTTGCTTATCACACTGAGAGAGTCCAGGATCCTACTTCTCCTGCAAGGAGGAGACTGGCTCACCATGATATATTGCAAAATGTCTACTTGCATATGACCATAGACCACAACTATAGACACTACATATGTTTCCAGATTGGAGATGAGATGTTCACATTCTTCTTTGTGGTCTCTGTGCAATCACACATATGGGGCTTTTCCATGCAGCACAAGGCCTGGATCAGAGAAAAAACTTCCACAGCTCAACAGAACAGAACAGGCTGGAGCCCCCACCCTGCACCTTCTGGAAGTCTAGATAATGGGGGTGGGGTCCCTCCCAGTCCCTCAGTTCCTTTTTGATGGCACACGCAGTTGCCTCATGGATCAGAACCTCTCCGCTCAGCTAGCTCATGCTCTTAATACATTCACATTCACACACACACACACACACACACATTCTCAATTTACTCCCCATCTTTACCTCCTACCTTGAGCTGTACTCTCCTTCAGGTTCTCAACAGTCCCCAGGGCCTTCACTAAATGCTTGACAGTGGTCTGCTCACACCTGTGCCTCCAGGGAGTACAAGTCTTCCCATACCTTGATGACTGGCTCCTAGTTGTGCCTAACCATAACAGTAGCTGTGGCTGGACCAACCCTTACAGTTTGCCAACAGGGGTCCGCCCTCTCAACCCATCCACCAGCTCTACTTGGTGTCATACCAAAGACAGCTGCCCACCCACTGCAGTGGGCACAGGTGCTAGACTGGGGTGGTACAAAACTCAGTCCTGGGACCTATAGGGAGTCCCAGTGGAACTGAGGAAATGGGTGAGAGCCCCTCCCACAGAGAATCTTGGGAGCTATAGAATCTTTCTGACAAGAGGCTCCACACGGGCACAGAGCCCATACATGTGAATGCACAGATGAGCACTCAAAGAACAACAGTTACAGGTAAGCAACCTAACTATTTGCAGACTTAACCATTTTAAAATCCTATGTACATTTCTACTTTTTGGTGACCTATCCAACAGCTCACTCACTCACTAGTCCTTCATTTGTTTAAAAATGTCAGCTGAATAAATGGCAGTCTTGGAGGAGAGCTCAGTGATAGAGCACATATCTTGGATTCAGAAGGTCACTGGGTCAGTCACAGGTATCTCCAGGAAGTGCAGGGAAAACTTCTGCCTGGAATACTGCTGGATGCAGAACCGTAGGACCACATGGGCCTGGGGTCTGGCGCAGCATAATGTCGCTTCTTATTGTTCTGTGTTACCTATTCTGATCCTATAGGACTGGGGAAGGAAGCCTGGTGTTCTCCAGACACTTCGAACTACATTTCTCATTGTTCCTGATCTTTAGCCATGTTGTCTGGTCCTATGGATGTTGTATTTTAAAGGATACCAGGTTTCCTACCTTGGCTACAAGATGCTTTGTTGCTTATTAACCCACAAGTCTGCAGGAATAGAGGTGAATATGCTTTGTCAGTCAGGTATCTGCCAACTGATATTGAAAACCTGGGGAGGCTGGTGACTCCTATGTCAGTGGGGCTCCTTGTCCATTGCAGCTTTCATTTTAGCTTTATAGGAGTTACCCATGTTGCTCCATGATGATGAACCCATTTTTTGAATGGACTTCTTTTTGTAGTGTGAATTATGCCGACAAAGCAGCCTCCCCAGTTAAAAAGGTAGCAGTAGGTGGTACCCTAATCCAACTAAAATCAGACTTCAAAGGTAATGGCCCCAGTTAAGCCTATGATCAGACTTTATATGGTCCTGCTATATTCATCATCATTTAATCTTTTTCTCCCCTAGCAGTTATTGTGTCTTTTTGCTTGGAGAAATGGCATGTATTATACCTTTTGTCTCTTCGGTACTTGAGTATTTATAGTGCTGTGTTAAACCTCATTAATCAGATAATCCATGGTATTTGCAAAGCCTCTGAGATGGAGAGAAACTCAGGTAAACAGGGTTGATGTGAATAGGGTTACAGCGGTGTGGAGTAAGCCATTGCAAGATATTCAATTAAAATTTCAAGGTTTGTTTTTTATGGGACCGGTGGCATTTGGATGGCACTGTTTTGCTATAGTGCTCAGGTCGTGTTAGGCTGTGCTACAGTCAAGCCACCCATGAATGCAGAGTAGACTCCTTAGGTCACCTAAACTCCTGGGCCAAAGCCCATAAATAAAGACAGCAAAAGTCTTTCCTTTGTCTTCTTGAAAGAAGTGAATATACAGTTTAATGTTTGGTTGGGTGTTTATGGGGCAGAAACCTGGCGGTTAATTGATATTTACTTTTATACTTGCTACACATTTCAGACAGTGCAGCATTAAGGAATGTGTAATGTACATTCTGCCTTCCAAAAACAAACAAGCCAGTCAGTCACATTTTCCAAACCCACACTCACTTACAATAACAATGTTTTATTTATTTGAAACTCAGCTTTAGAGATTTGAACGTGTAATTACTGCTAAAATGTGGCTCTTTCGAAATTTAATATGCCGTGTAGGATGCACCTTTTTGAAGTTTAAAGGCTTGATGCTGATGTAAGTGAAAAGAGGGGGAGGGGCAGACCATCTTGGCTAAGACAAACTATTTTGTAGACTTTGTGGCATATACAGACCCAGGACTCTCTGACTGGGCTCACATGGTTACTGCAACTTAAACAGGCCATGGTGGCTTATTTAAGCTGCAGCACAATTTGAATAATCACCTAGGCACTGCTTGCAGGTTTTCTGAACATGGCTTTTTGGAAGGTTAAGCAACCTTCAGTTAATCCATGGGCTATTTAAGCTACCGTGATTGTTTGAACTGGCCCTCTGTCTCTTCGTATCTTTTTATATGGGTGATATTGAAAAAAGTCCTTTAACTTTCTATTCTCTTTTTAATTCTTTCTGTGTTCCTTTCTCTCCACCTTTTCTCCCGTCTCTTGCTTCACTATTTGAAATACTCCTAATCAGCAAAAAGGTACAGTAATAATTTTAACTAACCTTTTACCAAACTCAAGTTTACCATTCTAAGCATTCTTTAGAATGTTTTTTCTGAACTCACAACCTGCATAAGCTAGGATTCATTTGCTTAAATAATTACCCTATTAATTTCTCCATAATTTTAGCTGTGAAACACTTTGATTTATGTTTGTTTTTTGAACTTAGATGTAATAAATTAAAATATGTTTTGCATACTGGTGTTAATGCTCTGAATGCATGTAACAGAAGACCTGCAGTTCGCAAAGCAAACTCTGATCCCCTTTATATGCCTGCTGTGTAACAGAATCCTGTGTGAAAGTGAGATTGAAAAGGTTTGGACTTGTATGGATGGCCTTTTTCTGATCTAGTTTCCTCATCCTTAATAATGTGTTACCATTGCTGGGAAAATACTCTGCCCAGTTAATTCCACTAAGGAATTGTTTAATGGTTTCCATCATCCTGCCTCAAATTTCGGTTCTCTGTGTGTTCCAGGCGCTTTCAATAAATTGACTTTCATATGTGCATTTCTGGGTACATATCGGGTTAGCCTTTGGAGCCTTGAGCTGGTGAATGATCTTATTATTCCTTTGGAAATTTCCTGCTGGTACAAGGAGCAGGACTACTTATTCCTCTGGAGGGGCCTACAAAGAAAAAGGATTTATATGGACTGCTTAGTTCTTATTGAATGCATGTGGAAGTGATTTGAGATTCCAAATGCAGGTCAATCTGTCATTTATCTTCTCTGAAAGGAGAATCTGTAAATAATTATGAAGACCTGTTAGAATGTGCTGGTTTGATCAAATAACAGATTATTAGGTTAGAGTTAGGTCTAGGGCTATCCTGGAAACTGGATTGGAATCTACGTTTTTAAAAAAAGAGATAAGTTGACTGCTTTTCCAGTGCTGCCAAAATTTACTATGAATGTTGTAATCCAGAATTATTTAATTTTGTAAGAAAAAAGGGCATTACTTTTCTGTAAAGCATAAGAGCCAACTGAAAGACTTTAAAGCTGTACTGAAAGATGTTTTAAGTTCATAGTTTCTGACCACCCTAAACTGAGTATGTGAGCTCAGTTCTTTACACTGTAGGATGACAAATACACAAACAGTAGTGAGCAAGTATCACTACCGCTACGATAATAAATGTAGCACATAGCCAACAAGGTTAGTAGCCACTGATAGCCTTCTCTTCCATGATTTTGTCCAATCTCCTTTTAAAGCTATCCAAATTGGTGGCCATGACTACTTCCCATGGCAATGAATTCCATTATTTAACTATACTGTGTGAAGAATGACTTCCTTTCATCTGTTCAAAACCTCCCACCAACCAGCTTCATGGCATGGGCTTGAGTTCTAGTATTATGGGAAAGGAGAAGAATGTCTGCTCCACCACTTTTTCCACACCATGCATAATTTTAAACTCCTCTATCATGTCTCTCCTTACCATTTTTCTAAGCTAAGCAGTATTGTCAGTAGTGTAAGGATTAATATTTTTTTCAGATAGACAATAAAAAGGCACCTATTTGATAGGTGCCTTTCTTTTACAGAAGAAAGCATACTTCTAAATAGTGAGGCTCATATGAAGTGGGAAATGCATCTCAGATTGTTTGGAGCCCTGGGGGCTAATTCATACTCTGGGCCTGCCAATCTGATCACCTCTAGGATTCTACTGTGTTGCCATGCTTCTGTGTGTGGATAGAGTGTGTGCCACTTGAAACTAGTAAAAAGAGTGGCTATGTACAATACCATATAGTCATTGGTAAAAAGGTTCAATTATCTTAGCATTTTCAAGATCTGATGAAGTTCTTCCCATTGAAGTTTCTTCTAGTCCACCTTATCCAAAAACACTGAGTGCCCAGATGAGTAAAGTACTTCATGCATTTTGAATCAGTTCAGAATAAAAGTCATTGCAACAGCAGATTTGTAGTGTATCTAGTCTTGCCAGGCCCATTATGGTTGCTCAACCAGTGTTTTCAAGCTGAGCAAGCAACTTAGGAGTTACTTACATGTCTGCAGAAACCCAACAATTCCCGTTTCATGTTCTGTACATCCATAGCAGTTCATACCTTAAGGAGGATGTTTCCAAAGCAGACATCCTTTCCATTTTATCTTTCCCCCCCTTTCCTCTCCACATGCTTACAGAAACCATATGCTTGTCAGATTCCTGGGTGCTCCAAGCGCTACACTGATCCAAGTTCTCTCCGAAAGCATGTGAAAGCTCATTCTGCCAAAGAACAGCAGGTGCGCAAAAAGGTAAGACCAACAGTTCAAAAGACAGCAGTTTCAACTGAAAATTTACCTGAAGAGTTTAATTGTGTATCCCACCCCACCTGAGGTTTTCACCTCAGGTGAAACAGGATTGGTTTTATTTAATGTTACAATTTTCATATAACTTAATTGAAATTGTTTTTCTGGCTCTTTTTGGGCATAATACGAATAATCTTCTGATCTAAGTGTTTGCAACGTATCTATTAGTCTCTGCTCTATTCCTGTGTCCAGTCTCGGTGAAACATGATATAAATAAATACTGGACAAAATCACCATCAGGAGACTGGCAATCACCAAGATTTATTAAAATCAGGAAGAGCTTCTTCAGCTCTTCTTATTCTGACTTTGATTTTTGTTTTCAATTTCTACTGTAAGCCATTCAGGGAACCTTGGCAACTGTAAATACATAAATAAATAGTGCTGCATATATTGATGATGAGCCCCAAATATACTGTTCGTTTTATCAGTACAGGGCTGGCTTCATTATTTGTGAGCCTCCAGTTCTTCCAGAGAACTAAGAAACTTCCTTTTTCTCCTTGTATTGGATTTTATATATCCACTGAACAGATCTTTTCCTATCTGCTCATCCATCAAATGTGTGGCTTTACTTTCCACTTCTGTTGCACATATGGGGACAATATTATGCTTGTAGCCCTTAAAGTAATCTAGCCATTGCATTTTGGTGAATGAAGGATAATTTTGAAGAAAAAAAAAGAATCTAAATTAGAATTTAACCTGTATTTAAACAATCAGCAGCAGCAGCACACCAGTTCACCAAATACAGGTAAGCTGTATAACGAATCATGAAACAAATCTAAACTGACCTGATCTGCTGTTTAGTCAAAACCTTACAGGGCTTTCCATCTTTCTCCATTATAAGCAGAAGCAATAGTTAAATCAGTTCCACCCCAGGTGAAATTATAGTTTCTTCTGTTCTTTTCTATAAAATATTGCTAGATGGCTGCTCAAAAAAACTAAAGCAATCATAGTGATTTACAACTAACATTAAAAACTGTTAAAAACATACCACAAAATAAACTAAAAAGAAAAAAACCTCCCCAAGTTATCAGCAAACAACACACTGGAAAAAATAGCACAGAGCAAAAGAAATCCCAAAACAGACCTGATATCCATTTTCAAAATCCAACGGAAATGTTTTTACCTGCCTTCAAGAAGCCAGCATGGAGAAGACTACAAATTCATCTCAGAGAGAATTCCACAAACTCAAGACATGTGAGGTATTTGCCCTATTCTTAAAGGAAGCCAGTCTAGCATCCTTGATGAGGCAGAAGTGAGAACAGGCTTCCTCAGCATTCCAGTGTCACCAATACAAGTGATGGGAAATGTCTTACTTGGAGAGTCACACCCCTCCCCAGCTGCTGCCATAGCAGAAATCTCAGAAATTCTGCTGGGAAGTAGGACATTGAGGGCCCTTGTCCCTTTCTTTTCAGAAGAATTTGTTCCTGACAGCCTATCTAATGGCTTTTTGGCAGGCCAACAAAAGCATAATTCTGCTTGGAGAAGCATGACAGATTTTCTGGAATTTCTTTGTGTTCTACAGTACTAATTGCAGTTTCCAAACAGTCTTCAAAAGCAGCCCTTAACCCTAACCATTACAGTAGTCCAAACTGGATGTCACCCAAACATAGATGTATATATTGGCATAATAATAATAATAATACACAAAACCAAAGTTAGGTAATATCTAGAGCATACAGACACAATTAGATAATTTGCTACAAGACTTTACTATATGGGATACAAAAGACACTACCTTCTCAGTTGTGTCTACCATGGCATTGTTCAAAATATTTTTCTCAGAATCTGACATACCCCTCCTATTTATTGGGATCGGGTTCAAATACTTAGTGCACAATTCAGTGTAGAATGGACAGTACAGGAGCATTTGTGAGATTGACTCCAATCCCCTCCCACCCAATTCACATGAGCAACACCTCTCATTATATGATGTCCTTTGGAAACTTCCCTATAGAATTGCCAAAGGCATAACATTAAATCTGGCCAGGGTAAAAGCTCTCTGTTTCTGGGGGCATTGTAAATAATATAGATATGGACCAACTGGCTATATTTAATGGAGATCATTGAATTAAAAGTATTTGCCACACTCTATAGGTCTTGCAAGTCAATGTCTAAAATCCTGCATTTAATCCTTCAATATGCCTCTTCTTGGGAGAACAATCCTAATAGATCCAATGATGGACCTATAGATCTAATGTTCTTTTCAATATGGGTTAGTTCATTAGGAGTGTCAGAGTCTGAAAGTAAATGGTAGAGACAGCTACCCTGTTCAGAGTTACAGTGGATTCTTAAAAATTGATGGACCTCGGCCATGCTCCAGTTTCCACCAAAGACTGGCCTGTCTCCAAGCTAGAGAGCAGCATAAGGAACACACCAAGATTTTCCAAAGGAACATGGATTGAATCCATTCCATGGAGTAAACTATAGCCCCCATCCAAACATAGATGATAGTGCCCATGTCACAGACTCCCAGCAGCAGGCATAGCCAAAGGAATTTATGCAACTGGTCCTGCTCACATGGTGCAAAGCCTTTCAAGTGGCATTGACAGCATTGGCACAAATGAATGGAAATAAAATGATTGGTTAGAAATGAATAAACCTACCTCTTGTCATGTATATTATTCATTCTTTGTTTAGAAAAGGAATTACAGTAGTCCCCCAAAATTTGCGGGGGTTACATTTCTAAAGCACCCACAAATCGTGAAAAACTACGAATTTGGTGCTGGCAATGGGTGCTGGCTGCCAAGGTGGTGCGGGCAGGAGGTGCGGGCTGGGCTGGGCCAGGGGGCGCACACGTGGTGAGAGGAAACAATCTCCTTGCGAGTTAGCTGCCACACGGCGAGGCGCCAGCTTACTCGCAAAGAGATCGGCTTGGACTCACTTGGAGAAAAATTCCATGAAAGACTGAAGCCATGAATGCTGAACCGCAACTTCATGGAGGTATACTGTATATTGCTTTTCATCAAAAATAAATAGATCCCAAAGTAAATGAAAAAGTAAAACCATACTAAAAGAAAAGAAAACAAATGAATAAGGCAGTTATAAAGCAATAAAATGTTAAAATAACCAAGTGTAGTTCGAAGTGTAGGAAGACAACCAGGTAAACAGATTTGCCTTTAGTTTGGCCAAAATACCCTCTCCCCTGAGCTAAGGACTCAATCTGATCAAAATCGGGTATTCATTCCAAATGGTACTGCCATGATGGATCAGGCTCCCTCAGCCCCACTGCCAAGTGCACACCAGCAGGGCATGGTACTCTTACTCAAAATGTAAAGCCAAGCTTACCTGCACAGTTGAAAGTGATCTCATGAATTTAAGATGTATAATCCGCAAATACCTACACTGTTTCTGTGACACATGTCTGAACTTTTTGACTAGTACTTTATAACCAAGAGGTTATAGAATGCTTTCTTATACCGAGTCCGACTTAGAGAGTTTCAGGCAAGAGTGTCTTTCTCCTCGCTACTAGGAGATTGCCCTATTTGGGAAGGTTTGCATGCAAAGGCTGTGTCCTACAGCCCTTCCCCAGTGTCTTTAATCAATATCTTTCTTCAGGCAAAGGACTCTAAAATTCTTTAAGGGTGCAATTCTATACATGTCCCCCTGTCAGCTGTGCTAAGTGGAGAGTACAGGGAGCTGTGTACATTTTTAAAATAAACATGCTTAGGATTGCACCTTTGATAGAAATATTACTTGGTTGTGGTATTTAAAACCTTTATTGGCTGCAGCTGCTGATTGTGATCCAGAATGCTCAATCTTTGTATGTTAAAAATCAAACTGCTCGTAGGACCAAACACTAACCCGATTTGCCTGGATCTTTTAGTTTGGAATAAATAACTGAGCCCAGGGGAAGGCGGAATGCAAAACTGTAAACTTCAAAACAATAACCATTTATTAACAGCTGCAGCATGGGATGGTTGTTGCTGTGTAATTTGAGCCCCATGTTATGACAAAAGCTTGGCAGCATCAGCATGTTTGAAAGAGAATTAGAAATGCTTTTCTTTCTTAATTCTCCCCTCCTGCTGTTTTTAATATGATCGACATTGTGGTTTGCAAAAAGCATGCTTCAGACACTTTTGCCAATACATTCATTTACATGGAAAACAGCTGACATATCAGCAGTACCTCTTGCACATTACTAACAGCCCTCCATTTTGCCAGCTCTAATCTGATAAGTGCAAACACTTTCCTTCCCCTATCAAATATCCTTCCAACCATTGCACTTTTATAAAAGTGATGCAATCCTTTCAAGAGAAGGAACCCAAGATACTAGGGGAGAATAATATGCAGCTAACTTACTCCATAAAATTGTGAGCAGCACACGGGTACATTATGTTTCTGAAAGCAAAAGTGCTGGTGGTTGCAGATTAGCATGCTTAATTTGTGTACTTGGGAAAACCCAAATAATTTCTAATTAGAAGTACTAATATATCTTCAGTTATTCCAATGCTTAAAATGATGACATTTTGTTTCTTCTGTCTCTATGTAAGCTATAAGTTAAAAGGCATATGCATCCAATTAGTTGCTCTTTGGTTCTGCACTCTGAACATGAAAATCTCTTTTGTTTTATCTTCCCCATATAGCTACATTCGTGCTCCGATGCTGAACAAGACATACTAAGTGAGTGCTTAGCCATGCAGCAGCTTCACCCTTCTTCACAACATGTTTTGGATGGAAAGTGTGGACGATCAATGAGTCACCATGACCTGATAACAGGTGGAAACCTTTCTGATAAATATAATGCAGCATGTTCTGTCAGAACCTAAATTCCAAACCTCCTCCAGCTAGGAAGCTCACCAGGTTGCCTTAGGCAAAACTTAATTTGCTCAAGCTACTCTGCAGGGTTGTTGTGAGGACATCATGCCTTTCCGGGCCCCTAGAAGATCAGTGTAATATAGCAAAGAAATATAGATCCTGAAATAAAAGGAGCTTAAAAACATCTGCACTTTCAAATGAACACTAAAACCACTAATTGATAACATTGCAGTATCACAGAAAAATATGCAGATGATTAGCCTGAAATGTATCTTTGAAATAACACTTCTGTGCTTTCTTAATAAAAGTCTCACATTTTGTATCAACACATTTTAAGGGGTTGTACCTGGTGTTGACCATAGAGACAGATGGGGATGTTGCTGGTGCACCAGCCGCCCAGCATGTTTCCTGACTAAAGCAGCAGAGGTGTCTCAGCTGTGATGTTGGAGGAGCCCCTGTGGGTGGTCCTGGTTCAATTTTCCAGCTGAAGCTGCCTCTGGAGCCCTGGCTCAGAACTTCATGGCCTCCATGACATCCACGGGACTGCCTCAGTTCATCACCAGCTATATGAAGTGGGGCAAACCCATGAGGAGGTCTTTCCTTTGCTCCAGGTTGTGAAATGAGTAGTCTGAAAATTGGGGAGGGGGTCAAGTAACCCCACTATCATCCTCAGACCATTTCCTGGTGAAGCTTAAACTCATAGCATTACTTCCCTTCTGCAAGGGGGGTGGCATTCAGATCATCTGCCCCAGGAGACTCATGGAATCTAGTGAATTTCTGAATGCTCCTGGGGATTTGCCAATGGATAATGCTGGTGATCCAGCCAAGGTCTTGAGCTCGCTATGGAATGGTAAGATGTGGAGAGCCATAGACATGATTGCACTTGATTACCTTCTCTGGCACTGTAGAAGCCACTCCACACCTTGGTATATTGGGGAGCTGTGGTTGATGAAATGGGCTGGACATCAGCTAGAATATAAATGATGTAATACCCGAAGTGGAGCTAGCCAAACATACTCTTGAATGCACAAGCATGCCTTTTATGTGGTGGAGTAGGTAGCAAAGCCACATTACTTGGCTGCTTCCACTGCGTCCTCTAGTAGCTGCTCCGTAGAGCTCTTCTGGGTGGTCTGGGGGCTGTTCGCACTCTCCCCAAGCAAATGGGTTCCTGGCCCCCTCAAGGAACCACCGTGACCTTTTTGCATCATGCTCTAAGGACAAAATCACTGCTCTTTGCAGCAAACTTGCAGTAACTCCATTCAAAGTGTCTGATGCCATCATCTGCCTGATTCCTTGGGATCCATTTGAGTTATTACAGATGGGTGACATGGACACAGTGCTTGCGTCTGTGCAACTCAGCACATGCTCTTTTGATTCTTGCCTTGGTGGCTGATAAAACCTAGCATAGGAGCTCTAACTGGGTGGGTTTGGGGAATGGCATTCCCTTTTTGTGTGAATGGGTAGTTCCAGCTGTACTCAAGAGGACAGTGGTGCAACCACTCCTGAAACAACCCACCCTGGACCCAACAGTATCTGATGACCACTGCCCAGCAGCAAATAGCTGCTTTTTTTTTTTTTTTTTTTAAGGGAAGGCACTTGATGACAGAGTGACTGCAGGCACTCCTAGAAGATACCAATTTTCTAGACCCATTTCATCTGGGTTTTGACCTAGCTATAGGATCGAATTGTCTTGGTTGCCCTGATAGATACCCTTTATTTTGGAGAGAGACAGGGGAATATGACCCTGTCACTGCTACTCAATCTCATACTGGTTTTTTTATACCATTGACCATGATGTCCTCCTGGATTGACTTCGTGTTACAGTGATTACAGTGGTTCTGGTCTTACCTGTGGGGTTGATTCCAAAAAGTAACAGCAGGTGGCTATTCCTCAAACCCCTGGCAAATGAACTATGATAGCACAGGACACTATCATGCCCCCCAGTATTATTTAGCATGTATATGAAGCCACTAGGAGTGGTCATTAGGAAATCTGGAGCCAAGTGCCATCAGTACACTGATGACACACAACTCTATCTTCCTGTGACAATTGAATCAGGAGAGGCTATGCAAGCCATAGATTAGTGTCTCCATTCATTGGTGGCTGGATGACAGTCAATAAGCTTAAGTGGAATCCTCTGAAGAACTTGGACATGCAGCAGTATAGAAGTAAATAATAAGATTTTTCCAATAATGCATAATATTTCTGATGATCAATTCATATTTACCTCACGAGATGGGAACATTGCAGTATACATTTTTGAACCTGCCATCAAACAAATGGTTTACCACTGGGCAAAATCAAACCATTGCTTCCTGCCTATGATCTACAGAGAATCAAGTGTTATTAATGAATTATTCTTGTATCTTCTTCTACTCCACCATGTAGTCAAGCTTGGATATGTGAAAAAACAGAGCTTACTCTTTACAACTGTTTAGATAACAAAGCTCTTTATTATGTATGCCATTAATATAATGTTAAAGCTGAAACCAACGGAAAACTATAGGATGCAACTCCAGAGTGAGCTAACTATTTGGGACATATGGAGAGGTCAAAGGGTTATTTAAAATTGCAAGAACAGAAGTGGTTGTTGTTAAGAGAACCTATAAGAGACAACAACATGGTAGACATAAGCTTCCTTAATTTTTCACAAATTACACTAGTAGTTTTCATAAATCACCTAAAATACTTTGTAGTCCAAATTATCATGAGTGCAGAGAACAACAACAATATATCAACAGGTTATCAGAGGGGTAGGGTTAGAGGGAGGGGGAGGGGGTTGAGGGGAAGGGCTGTTAAATAAAATTGCTTTTGATGAGGATTTCACCCTGGCCTTTTCATTCAGCTCACTTATCTTTAAACAATGACTGTTTAGTAGATTGGAATTGTAAGTCTCTCATGATGCATTATTTGGAATCATTGTTTAAAAGGTGCTGAAATGGGAGGAGATGGCAGTGCTCAAGTGGGATGCTTTTTAGATAGGACTGGCTATATTAACTAACTAACTAACTAACTAACTAACTAACTAACTAACTAATTCAATTTATATGCCACCACACTAGTCACAGGCCTTCTGGGTGGCTTACATCATATTAAAATCCATAGACAGCATAAAACAGTACAAAACAGAACGTGACACTACATAATTATAAAGGACCAGTAACATGTTTGACCATTTTTAAACAGTGTATCACTCTGCTTACATGAATTAAGTAATTAGCATTGTGATGACATCAATTTAGGGAGGCACCATTCTGGTATCTAATTATAAAAGCAGTAAACTTCCTGACACTTCCCTCCTATATGGTGTGTAGGCACTGTTTTTTATTGGAAATCATTGAAGCTGCATAATCATGATGAAGATTAATAGTAGCCATAGTGTTTCTGTGTTTTACAGAGCAATCCTGAGACTTTTGTAAAGGATAGGATAATAATATGCAAAGGGAGAGGCTTAAAATTTCTGTATTGACAAGGGAAGAGATAATAAAGGGAGGAGTAGAAAAGCTGGAAAGAGATAGGCAAGGACAACAGGGTAGGGATATGTGCAAATAGGGTTACATGTGCTAGGCTTCATTTTGGTTGAGGAACAGGACTAAGGGGTTAAGTGAATGCTTCAGCTGAATGAAGCTAATAATCCATGAATAGTGAGTCAAACTCTTGTGGTGGGTACAGGAGCATGTCAGACTGCCAGCAGATGTATAAGATAGAGCACAAAGCACTAAAGATATTTGCCTTCCAAGTTAGTAATTGGAACCAACAGGTGGGTCTCAAGCAGAGGTAGAGTTCTACTTGGAAGGTTGCTTTAGTAAAATGTTTGGGAATCAAAATTCTTACGTAGTGTGCTTGCTAGACTACACTGGCTTCAAAAAGCAATGTGCAATCACAAATCCACTATATAAAGCTTCATTTTAGTCCACTTGAAAATACTTGTTTATATTGGGCTGTTTTCTCAAGGAAACCATAGCATTAAGGTACGGAGTGCTGTGCCACTGGGATTACTTGGATTACCAAGAACCTTTCTTCCTAAACTTAAGGCTGAAGCATATTTTAAATATGTCAAGGATGAAAGCTTACATACAGTGATGAAGCCCTTTTTCAAGTTTCCTATCCTGTGTGTTAAACTTCAAAGTAAACCTCTGGTTAGGCTATAATATGTGAGAAGAATGCTCTGTGTAATCGCAATACTTGAATACTAATAATTGTATTATTGTTATTTATTGCAGTTTTAACATTCGTATTACTGTCTTTCAGGTACACCCTGGCAATAAGCCGTGGTGTGCTAGTCTTTGTGAGAACAACTCACTCATGGTGTGCCTGAAAGGCAGTCTCACTGTGGTTGTCAACCTTTCCTTTCAGTCTACCAGCCAACACCCTAGAGGACTTTGCTTGCTGCTGCTCGATTGGAGTTGAGAGCCATTTGTGGCTTAACCCCCTTTTGCTTTTCCCCCCACTCAAGATCAATTTTCACAATCTCTGATTTGACAGCCCTCCCCCATCCCTGCCCCGCCAAAAGTGCCCAACTGGCTTACTGAAAATATTGGTTTGTGGTGCTTCAAGCATTTTGGAAGGATTGTCATGAAAATCAATCTCCAATGGAGAAAACAGAAAAGAAAGAGGGGGGGAAGCTGTGACAACTCAAAACAGCTCCCAGTCATGGTGGGGGGTGGGCAGTGAGCCAGTGATGTTCACTTTGCCATCACACGCACACACATAGTGGTGAGCATCATGCAATTGAAAAGCCCTGCTTCGAAAGTCCAGCAGCACTTTCAGGCAGTGTGTATGTGATAGTTTCATTTTTCAGGCAGTGATGATACCTATGGTTTTTTGTTCTTCAGAGAGCCAAGAAACTAGTTATCACTCTGGCTTTACATTAAGGGCAAGTGTGCAACTGTACATCAAAAACCTTCCCTGCTTCTAAAGCCCTCAGAGCACCCACTTTTGCTATATTCTTTCAAGGGGCA